AAGATCATGAAAATAAATTTGCTTAGCCTGGGCCTGCTGGATATTTTCTTTAGCTATCTCCTGAATAGCTTTCAGCTTCACCTGCAAATTGTGCATGAAATCAGCAACAGGCGCTGAAGTGGACTGGATAGTACCTTCCCAGTCAGCCCTCAACAAATCCAAAGGTCCATGCAAATTTTTCCCATACATCACCTCACTTGGGCTGAGTCCGCCTAAGGCCTTGTGAGGTGCGCTTCAGTAGGCCAAGAGGACCAGAGGGAAAACTTAATCCCACCCCCTCCCAAAGTCCTGAACAAAAGTTTTAATTATCTTGAGTAATGTCTACCGTGTGTGCTCTACTAACCCGTGGGAGTCCGGGTGGTAAGCTATACTGAAATTTATTTTAGTTCCACTTATCTCACAGACTTTCCTCATCCATTCACTTCTAAAAGCACCAGCCATGTCACAAATTAACACAGATGGAATTCCAATCCTTGCACAAACTTCCAGAAACACTTTGGCAATGGAATTTGCAGAGATAATGGTGACAGGGTAGGCCTCAGCCCATCAGCTGGTCTGGCAGGCTAATGAAACAATAAAATGTTTCTGTGATTTAGAATGCAAAAAGAGGTCCCAAAACATCCAATTGAAGACAGTTAAAAACTTCACCCACAACAGGAATTGGTTGAACTTTCGCTTTAGTTTTATCAGTGTGGTGCCCCACTCTTTGGCATATGTCACAGGAAGCAACAAAGTCTTTCACAGTTTTGGCCATGTTTGGCCAGTAAAAATGCTTAGTGACTCTGCAAAGTCTTTTTACATCCCTGATGTCCCGAAAAAGGAGAATCATGTGCCAGTTCTAAGACTCACTATCTATATTCCCGATGCACAACTATTTGTTTAGATGCTTCTAAATCCATCCTAGAATCTTGAGCAAACTGTAGACTATTTTGGCTCCAGAAAAAACTTATAGACTCAGTGCTTGAGGCTGGTCAGCTTGCAACTGCCGGGCTGTTAAAGGAGGATCGTTTTCTTGGTGTCTTTTGAACTCATCTGAACCTATCATTTGAACAACAGTCCATCCCCCTTCTGGGCCATTAAGATCTCCATCACAAAGACCAAGTCATATCACCCAAGTTTCAGTTATCCCCATCAAGTCCTATTTATTATCCTGAAGTAAGATTTCCAGCTCTTCTTGTTTGTTTCCCATATTCCTAGCATTTGTAAATAGACACCAGAGATTGTGATTTATGGCCTGCTTTTCTTTTGATTGATTTAAACTTAGAAAAGCAGCTGACTTGTTCTTTGTATGCAGCTGTTTCAGGCAGCCCATGCACTGCCAGCCACCATATTTCAACATTGTTTGTGTTAAAACACAGTACTTTGTACACCATAGCAGTGGCAGCAGTAAAGGTAAGAGAAAGCAGCAGCTTATGATTTGTGTAGAAAGACTAGATCTGAAATCACTATAGAACTAGTTGATTTTGATTAATTTTTTTTCCTGTAGTTAATGACACTCAAAAGTCAGATAATGACTGTCCTTTACAACTTTAGCAACTGCCATGAGAAAGAAAGTTAAATTGGAATGATCTAAGAAGTATTTTTATCGTACTTATGACAAAGCTACAGAGATTCTTACTATGGAATGCTTGCTTTGGAGGCTGGGAAATGACCAGAGTAAAACATATAGAAGGTAACAAAGAAAACATGGAGTGCTTTGTAGCTAGAGGATGAAATTCCACTTTTCTCTTTGTTTTTTAAAAAAATCCACCCTGGGCTATTTCGTCCTCTTCCAAGTGCTAACAGAAGGCTACTGATATGACTGATATGACTATCTACAGGAGACAAAGGCAGTAGTCAAGCCCATATAGGGCTTCACCACACATACAACAACAGTAATTGAAGGTGTTTACAATTCCAGCAGGTTTTTTTGGGCAAAAATTAGTTTGATCACATTCCACTCTGAAAGCTTTTAAGAAGGGAGTAAAACCACATCTTTTTAGACACTTGATGCTGATCTATCCTTTTTGAAAGTATATTGATCTTTTCAAAAGAATTTTGCAGAATTTTATGATTTATAGTGGCGTGGATTTATAATTTTTATGGAGTGATCCATTTCTCAGTGATCATGGTGAAATGTGCTCCAGCTCAACCGCAGTCTGTCCAAGCGGAACCTTTTCAGTCCAGCTGTAAGTCTTCTGCTTTCGGGACCAAACTGGAGCAATTCCCCAGCAGACAGAACGGTTACTTTAAGGCTCTTGTTAAAGCAACTCTTTCTGGTGCAGTCAGGCCCATGCCTTCACAGCCATCTGATCGCACCCTTATTCAAGAAGAGCATTCCTCCTTGAATAAGTCTTTCTCTGGCATTCAGTGTGTCAAAGCAGTAGCCACTAACATTTGAAAGAACATAAATCTTCAGCTGATGAAGTTTCAGCACATTGCATTGCAGATGAAATGTTAGATATGAAAGAGCTGTCTAATCAAATCCCTAAAGGTTTTGATAGTTTACTAAAAAAAATTAAATATTTGTACTTGGAGGATGCCTTTATTTCCTATGGAAATAGAAAGTACTCAAATAATTTCAGTGTGCAGTCTGATGTAAATTAAACTAGGTCAGATATATATATATATATTTTAGAGCATAGATAGAGTTGCGTCTGTAGAAAGGCCTTTGGATGAAACATCGTTTTTTAATTGTTATGATTCTTTGATTTAAATGAGATAAACAAGATGCCTTTGCTGTATTCAGTTGAATTGTTCAACTGTTTTAAATTGTTTTAAATAACAATTGTTTTAAATAACAATGCTACAGAGGTGACAGTTGCAGCAATGAAAAGAACAAGCAGCAGCAGAGGAAGCAGTGGGGGTGTGTGGAAGTCACAAAGCCACATAATCTGACCTTGGCCATACTATTTTTAAAATAGTGTTCCAATATATATTGAAAACAGTATGAGACAAACTGATATGGTACAAGAGATAGTACTGGAAGTTGGGGCTGCCAGGCAGAGTGGATTTGATTTAAATCAAATCAATTTAAATTATATCAATATAAATTATGACTGAAATTTTAAAAATCAGAATTTTTTGTCTACTTGAATCAAACATTGATTTTAAAATTTAGATTTTTATTTAAATTATTCATTTTAAAAAAATCATAGATATTTATCTGCCCTGCTGCCAGGTCAGGAGGCACTCAGTGACTTGCTGTGGAAATGCAAAGGATAAAGCATGTCAGTAATGAGGCACTAGATTAAAAACCAAAACCACATCCAGTGACCATTGTGTACTGCGATGAAAGGAAAGCCTGATTTTGTACAAAACATTCAATTAGATGGATTGACTTCATAAAGGAAGCCAAAACCTTGGGTTTGCAAGGGTAGCAGGGCTCTTAATGATAGAACATTTTGGAAGTTATTCATTTATAGAAGCACCGTAAGTCAGAGATGGCTTAATGGTGCATAACAACAGAGTACCATATTTTTCTGTGTATAAGATGCTCCTTTTCCCCAAAATCATTACACTAAAAATTGAGGGGCATCTTATACATGGAAGTAAGCTGAGGAGAGAATTGCCTGTACTTTGCCTTTGTAAACAGGCTTCTTTCAATCACGAGGCTTAGCTTCCTACAGTCAAGAGACTTAGCTTCCTCCAATCACGAGCCTTATGGAACTGATGTCAGCTGATGCTGAACAAACCAGTTGGAACACACCTCGTTGAAGGTGGAGCCTGTAGGCTCAGATGCAACAGGAACTTGTTCTGAGCCCAAAGGCTGAATACTCAAAGCTAACTTCTTAATTTTGGGTTAGAAAGGGGGGGTATCTTATACATGGGGGCGTCTTATAGATGGAAAGTATGATAGATATTTGTGAGAAATATTCTGGTAGATAAATTAATTATAAAATAATCTGGGGGAAGCTGGAACTTGGCCATTTTATTTGCTTATATTCTGTGCCTTCAGCCTTGGCTAACTTTATCATCTTTGGAGTACTCTCATATCAGTGGCTCTAGAAATCATTTATTTATAAATTCCATATCTGGCTAAAATGAGCCTCTTCTCATCCATAGCAAATATGTTCATGTTTTTGATAATTATTAGGTCAGATATAATATTTTTCTAAAATAATAGCTCTTATACAGTATACTGTACAATGATTTGTGCTGAGAATGTATAGTTGATTCGAGTTCTCATAAAGGCTATTTCCTTTGTCTAGAAATATGCTTTAGAGACTTATGCTCTGGAAAAATGTAGCATCTGTGGATTTACTAGTGAGTGTAGTACCTTGTGTTCCCGGGTATTTGTATGTTCTTTGTTTTTAAATACTGCTGAGCATATTAGATGTCAATAGGCAAATATTTATAGTACTGTAGAAAAATCCATTTATAGTTCCACCTAGAGCAGACACATTGAAATTAATGCACTGTCAGCACTGATCTAAATCCCACCTTTTTTAATGCAGCTTTTCTAAATGGGAATAAAGCTGGATTTTAACACTTTGTCTTCAACACCAAACAAGGAGAGTACTTTGGCTGTCATTCAGAGGGACAACCTGAGTGTATAACTGTAGAAGTGTCTACCAAGCCAATGAACAAGGGCATAGACACAGTTTAGGGGATGCACAGCTTACAGAAATGAATTTGCTCGTACTGCGTGGCACAATTTATCAGCGAATTCTTCTGCACACATCGTAATCAGAATAATATACTGAAATCAAGAAGCACTATTATACTAGAAGGCTTGTATGCAATATATTTTTAATCAGTAAAGATATTTGTGAATCTCTAAGTTGATCTTTTAAAGAAAAATTAATGTTGTAGGTATCTAAATGCGGAGCCCGAGGTTGGGAGTTTGATCCCCCCCATTGTGTCTCATTAACAGGAGCTGGACTTGATGATCCATAAGGACACTTCCGGCTCTGCAGTTCTAAGATTACTATTATTATAAAACAGAAAAAAATGTAGTCTTCATAAGAAATGAAAATTTCTAATAGCACGTCCAACAGTGTTTTGTTTTCTTCTAACAGATAATCCTGAAATAATCAGCAGAAATGGGATGGAATGTCAAGAGGCCTCACTGAGAACAGCAAAGCATTGTTACTGTACATACTACCCTGTCTCTTCCTCGATAGAATTACCACAAACTGCATGCTGAGTAAAGAGTTTGTTCGTCTGGACAAATCACAAGTAACTAAAGAGCTAGTGCTGCTATATCACATATGAATATTAAATATGGTATGCTTAGTATATTCCAAACTAATCTAGTTAACTACCTGATGCCAGCTGTGATGGTTCAAGACATAAAAGGCTAATATTTTACTTTAAAAATTTTTATACAACAGTGTTTACTTCTTAGAAATATTGTCTTACCACCATAATTATAGCTAATGTAAGTAGTCCTATTCATATATATATATATTATTGTAGGGTTCACAACTTTATGAATCTTTCAATGTTAGCAATAAGTGATTTACATTGGCCACTAATCCCAGGATCCAAGGAGTCGTGTGAATCATTCCAGATGGGCAAGATCACTTCAGATACTATTTTCAGTCAAACAAGGGCCCCACACACTTTTGCGTGGGGAATTGCTTTTGAAGTTGTGGAGTGTTTCAGGAGTATAGCGGGCAATACAGCAAAGGAGTTCCTGCTCAGAGGGTGGGAGGTTGAGAATTAAAAATCGCCCGCAGGAGCTCTTTGGATCTTGGCCAATATGTATGAATTGCATATGTAACTTTTAACCCTTTTGTACTCTCTTTTTTAAAAAAGCGCCCACTTCTCTACAGGGCAGTTGTTGCCAAGACAAAGGTGGTGATGATGTGGAAGCAGAACCCTGTGTTTCCTCACATCATCACTGAAAAGTTCCAAATAGAGGACCCAAGGTAAAGCACAAATTGCAGAGATTCACATGAAGAGATTTTGGACTTGTATGGAGAAGCAGTACCAGAATCATGACATTATAGAACTAAATTAAACCTTTGCACGGTATGGCTTTCATACCCCTAACAAAGTCTTGACTATGTTATTTTACAAAGAGAGAGAATATTTTTTAAAAGAAGCCTTTGTAGAAGTGCCTAAATTTTGCCACATCAGACTTGAAACTAAGTGACATGGTGGTCTATAATTGAATCTGTATGAAGCAATTAAGCTTTCAGATTTACAATCAGGTTACCAAAAAAAGAACTTGTTATGAAATAACTTCTTCCCAATTAAAGAAATGGGGCTATAGGTGAAAAGATTAGCACGAGATTCTCATATAAATCAAACTGAATCCAGTCATTGTTAAAATCAGTAAGTGACTTTAATTTAGATGATAAGGCAAAATATTGAACAGGATATAGGGAGAGCTTCATTTTAATCCATTTTTAATTTTGTTGTATTTTTAAAATCAGGTTAAATAAGTTGTAACCGGATTACAGCACAGAGAAAGAAACTAGTTCCTTTAATCTTTTTCTTTAAAAATATTTTATGTCGCAGAAATATGAAGATATCTTTAATATGACTATATGCATATTATATATACACATACATATATATGGACAAAACAGATTTTAATGTTTACTTTTTAAAATACTGTGTTAATTTTCAAGGTAATTATATGCATTTGATTAATGTAGGAAGTTTGTTTTTTAAAATTTGTTTTCCTACACTGCTGTACCAAATACATCACATTTCACATTTTATATGTTGCACATATATCACATATGTACATTGTTTTTAAATTATTGTTTATAAAACAAAAAAGCAGATGTTCTATGGAAATATGTATAATATGAACACTGGGATTTCCCCCCATTTAAACACTATAAATGACTGCAGTATTTTAACTTAGCCTTTTCAGATGGATTCTAAGCTCTTTTAGCTTTGGCAGCACTGCCTATTCTAAGAGACCAGAAGCACTAATTAATTTTTGTTACTGAAACTATTAATCTTGTTTTCCAAATGTCTTGTATCTGTTTATATTCAAAGTGTAGTTTTGGTCATCAAAAAGAGGGGAAGGACTCCTAATCTGATGGTAAACACAGTGTTTGTAATCTTGCATTTGTTTTATTTTGTGAGGAATATGTATCTTCTATTTTTACTTGTAAATTTTCTCAGACATTATGACTAGATTGCTAATCTGGCTGTTTACTGATATCAGTAATTGTTGGGGTTTTTTAAATGATAGTTTATTGGACAATACTAAATGGTAACTTATATATGTTGTTTAAATACTTAAGGTGTAGAAAGAACATTTTAGTGAACATACTATGTTTCAGCATTTATTTTATTAAAATAGCACCAATATTATTTTGGTTTTAATGATCAATACCTATGAGTTTCCCTCCTGAAAAGAAACAGAGGGAAAGAGAGAAACTATTTTAAAAAGCAGTCTATTGGCATGTAAATTGTGTTTCTACATGTCAAAAATATTTATGTCGGCCATTAAATCATGTGCTGCAGAATATTTCTGTTGGTTTCAGTGGGGCTGTTTCTGAAACACATGGCTTGTATATCACAGCTTAAGAGCATGAGTCACAGAGTTAGAGGCAGGGAAACTAGTTTCAGAAGAGATGGAGGGTACACTGTTCTCCAGTGGCCCTGGCTGAGCCATTAATAGCCTTTTCAATATCACATCAGTCCACTGACCTCTGCCAAAGATAGGCAACTTTTATTTTATCTTGCTTCTGCTTCCCTATTTGTGTGAACTCTGATGTTCTAACCTTCAAGCAGTGTGCTTGAGTGTAATTGCTTGGTTTCTTGATTTTGAATTCTATGGCCTAACCCACAAACCAGATTCTATAATCTGTTTTTACCAGAATGTATCTGTCTGTTGAACCAGCAATGTGAACTTGCATGCCAGTTCAAATTTGCACCTGCAGAGGCACATATATCCTGATTCATTTTAGCAGGGTTGTTTAGATTAAATGTTAAGCAAATACAGCCTTGCACCTATTCATCTCCAGATAGCTGTGTCTAGGAAAATCAAGTTATTACTACTAGTCCTGACTCCTTTTTGGTTCTGCCCTTACTCAGCTGCACTTTGTTTAATCTCTGTGCCTCTTGCTTTCAATCTGTACTAATATTAAGAAATGAACTAGGATAAATATAGGATACTAAGTACATGTTTTTTAATTTATTATAGAGTAATTTTGTAGGATGCATTGAATTTGGGAAGATCTAAAACTATTTTTCTGTATAAATATTATTTGCCAAAACTTCATTTATATTTTGGAAAAGAATGTCTAATGATGGTAAATGGACCTTACATTGGTTTTATTTTGAAATATCTCCCTTGATGCAACCATGAAATGGGCCAATATAGACAGTGAGTACAGAAGCAGAGACATGATTTCAAGTTACTTGAGATGTGTCTGTATTTCCTGTAAGAGAACTTCACCAAAATACCTTAATTTGCCCACAAAATATGATCGGTGGCAACATTTACACTGCATATGTTTGCTAACAATTACAAAAAATCCTTCTATTACTCCATGTACTGTAACTATATAGCAGCCTGTTTAAATACCCATTTATGAGTTTGTTGAGATATTATTTAATTGCCCTATGTGCAACCATGGAAATAAAAAGAAGCATTTTAAAAAAATCCCTCTTTGTTTTTCATTGTTGTGACACTCTGAGAAGTAAAATGATGGTTACAAGAAGATGGGGGAAATGGGCCTTACATTTTTGAAAAAGCTACAGGTAATGAAGAAATATCTGCAGATTCAGGTTGCCACCAGTGTGTGGCATGCTAAATTATCTTGTCTGACATTCTCAGACATGGGAATCATACTAACCCCAACTCAAGTGGCTTTTTGTCCAAATCATCCTGTAGGCTTCTTCATGCACAAAGTCACAGCTCATGAAGGGCCAACTCATCTAAGGCTGCAAATCTAGTCTTTCCTCTTTTGAGTCTGGCCCTGAGGAAGCTGTCTCAAAGTGCCCTTAAGGAGATAATACCCATAACCTCTGTATCAGATTCCCTGGAACACAGCCCCCTTAGATGGTTTCTCAGAACATCATAAATGGCATCCTTCAGAACATCTCTCTATACAGAGAGACATGTCAGTGTACTTTCCTCTTCAGAAAAAATGGAGGGTCTCTAAATGTAAAACTAATCTTAGCTCTAGAAATAGACTTTATCACACGTAGAATTTTTGGTTGATGCAATCAAGAATCTATAGTATTTTTCACAGCTTTTGAGAGTTACAGTATATACCCTTACACCCCTGAAAACCCCAAACCTTGGAACCACTATTCCACCAGAAGCTAGTTTGCCATTTTCAGGTATATTTTGTTAGCACAGCACCATAAGAAGTTTCCCTAAAAGTATAGGCCCAGTTAGAAACTGACTCAGAAAGCTGACTTTTCTTATCCTCTGCATTTACTGTGGTTGTAATAACCACATTCAGCCCAAATCATGTCAATAGCACTACTCCACAAATACCAAATACCAAACAAGCCAGCTTCATCTTCTAATGGGTGTGAAAAATAATAATGTTTGGAGCAAAATCACAATCCAACTGTGTCTGTGAAATATGTAGGTGGGAAGGATTTGCCTGGCCCTTGACCAAAGATCTCTGCTCTGTTGGAAGAATCTTCTGGAAACATCGTCTCTTTTGCTTCTCCCCGTTACAAATGCCCAATAAGGGTGTTTGGATGGTGATGTAGGTTGTACAGTAGAGTGGTGCATCGACTTAGAACCATCCCTACTTATGACCAATTCGACCTACAAACAGCACAAAATTTTGCTTCTACTTGCGACCGGAGCTTCCACTTACGAACAGAAAAAGACAGGGAAAGGGCGGAAAGGTCAAATTGCTAACTGTAGGTGGCAAAAGAGGCTGTTTCTTTGTAGCTCTTTCGCCCCGACAGTTAGAGTGACTGCCTGGCTTGGGACTGCCTGTTAGGTAGGGTGCTGTCTTCTGCTTTTAAAAAACTGTTCTGGGTGTTTTTGCAGCGTGGTTTTAGGGTGGGGGTTATGTTTCTGTGCTGTGATGGTTCTTGGGGGTTTGTTTGTTTTGGGGGTTTCCCCCATTTCTGATGGGTCTTGGGGGGTTTGGTTGCTTTTTGGGTTCTTTCCCCCATTTCTGTTGGGTCCTGCATACTTCCCTTGCTTTTTCCTTTGTTTTCTTTGCATTTCCAACCTTGTCCCTCTGTTCTCTGTGCATTTCCAATCTGCTCTGTTTGTTTTCTCTGCATTTGCAATGGGTCCTGCATGCTTGCTTCCCCCCCCCCTTCGGCTGGAAGGAATTAATCACATTTCCAATGACTCTTGCAGTGATTTTGTGTGTGTATGATTTTTTTTTTCCCTTTGGCCAGGACGGATTAATGTAGTTTCAATGCATTCCTATGGGAAATGGTGCTTCGATTTACGACCATTTTGACTTGCATCCATCTTCTGAAACAAATTATGATCATAAGTCGAGGCACCACTGTATATGTCCTTTTCATTGGCTGTTTCTCTCATCTTCCTAGCTCACCCAAGAAAGGATTTTTCATTTCTGTCTTCTCATATCAGTCTCCTTTTCTCTCAAGATAAAAAAAATCACCAGATTCAAAAACCACTAATTCATTGATTATTATCTGTATGAATGCCGCTGACTAATATGAATCAATTAAATTTTAGCTATTTTTATTTGATGATTTATTCGGCTATAAAACACCCCCCACCTGGCACCTAGAGACACCAAAGTCACAGAGAAACTTCTACAGTGGACCCTCTACTTACGGAATTAATCCATATTGGAATGGTGTCTGCAGGTCGAAAAGTCTGTAGATCAAATCTCCATTGACCTACAATGCATTGAAAACCGATTAATCCGTAACTGGACATTTTTGTTCCATTTTTGTTCCATTTTGGCTTTTTTCTGGTCTGTAAGTCGATTCTCTGGCTGCAAGTCGAATCTAAATTTTGCAACCAGAGAAGTCTGTAACTCGAAAAGTCTGTAAGTCGAGCCGTCTGTAAGTCGAGGGTCCACTGTACTGACTCTCTACAATCCCTCCAAGTTTGGTGAAGCCAAGCCAGTTGCTAAAGGGCACTTTCCTGGGGAGACCTATTTTGTGGATACATAGCTTGGATGTTTGAAACCCAGTCTTCACCAAAGATGGAGGGATGGCAGAGGAGAGTTGGGAAGTTACTCTGTGATTTTGGTGCTTCTAGGTACCTGGGGGAAAATTAGCTGCGGGGACCATCTTTGTGAGTGTACAACTCAAATACCCAAAACCCAAATGTCAACAAATTTGCAGGGCTTGTAGAAAGGAATCAGAGGATGCTTCCACATGAATTTGGTGTGTCTAGGTGCCTGGAGAGAACATTTTATAGAGTCTTAAAGTCAAAAACAAAAAAAACATAAATTTGTAATTCATTGACCTTGACAAATCACAAATCAGAACAAATCATTTTTCTGATTCATGCCAATCTCTGCTCTCAAGCTGTTAATATGTCTCTTGAGAATGGACTATGCCGCCCCATCTGGACCATGTGATCTATTCTGGCTCAAGGTTGGCTACCTAACTTTGGATAGGCTTTATGGATAAATTTTATTTTATAAATAAAGTTAAGAAACTGTTTTACTTTAAGCTTAGCTTAAAGTGATTTGTTGCTCCAGGGAATAGACAACAAAAGTGGGTTTTAAAGCCTATAATGAACTCAACTGCAACCTGACTTTGCTAAACAAAAGGACCCCCTAACAGGGCTCTCCCACAGACAATTATAACTTAAATGAAAATTAGAACACAGAAAACATCCAAAATGAAATTATTAACTAATCAATATGAAAGACAAAAAGAACAAAGCCTTTCTGCTATCAGAAGTAGCTGCTTTTCCTTTTCCTTTCTTGTGTCTAAATGTCTGAATTGTTACCATGTCTAAAGAAAGCACAGAAGTCATCAGCACTACTGATCATACCCACTGCTTTGTTCAGAAGAAATGTATTTACAAGTATTATAATATAGAAGTTTATTGAAAAAATAGGAAGCAAAGTCAGGGCGAAGAAGAAGGGATATTCTTCCTTACACACTCCCTCTTTGCCCCACTTCTACTTTGAGCTGTCTGTGGCAAGAGCCATAATCTAAGTCACATCTTCCCAGGCAGAAAACACACACTTGAGTATAAGGACTCAAGACAACTTCTAGCTCTTTGATTCCATGGAACTGATTCCATGGAATAGCCAGCACCACATGTGCCCTTCACCTTGAGTCTGGAAGCACTTGGCATGATGAGGAAGCACTCCAGATCATCCTGGATTTGGCTCTTAAAAGTAAACACCACCAATATGGTCTTTGCTCCAGGTCTAATGTAACCTCTGCAAATGTTTTCAGAAAATGCTGCTTTTGACATTTTAATCTGGAATCTAACATCAGGCCAGTGGCATGTTCTGGGCACCATGATCCTGTTGTACAAAAATCTCTTCCATCTCAACCTGTCATTGACTATTCAATGGATATAAGAAAACCATCTACTAGTGCCATCTTAAAATGTAAAGACAAATGAATCTCCTTTTCTAAAAAAAATTCTTGAGGGGTTTTTAAAGGGAGAAATGACAATGGAGATGGGTTTGCTCCTTCTACAGCTGTACACCTCTCATTAATGTAAATAGCTAGGTTTTTAGGTGTCACATGATTACAGATGGATGAGGAGACATCACACAGGTAGCAGGGTTCTGTAAGGTGTTTGACTGAATCTCGGATCCGTCTGCTTATATTTAAAGATAAATATGCAAGATATGTACTGACATGCAAAAGATGTTCTCAAACATTACTCCGTGTCCCAGTGCCCCCAAAGAGACGCTCATTAGGCCATTTAGTTAAAAAAAAAAAAACAACTTGGCGGCAGGTGATATTAACTATAGACTGTCACCAATGTCCCATTTATTAGCAAGTTAGTGGAGAGGGTAGTGGCCAATCAGCTTCTGGAGGAAACCAATTCAGCTGTGGGTTCAAGCTGTGTCATGGCACGGAAACATCATTGGTCGCACTGCGAGATTATCTTCTGAGGGAGGCTGATAAGGGCAAAACATCCTTGTTTGTCCTCCTCAACCTGTCAGCGGCCTTTGATAGCATTGACCACAGTACCTTCCTGGGTTGGGGATTGAAGACCTAGATTTGAACTGGCTCCAGTCCTTCCTAGAGGATCGTCCTCAGAGAATACAATTTGAGGAGATGTTGTCCACCCCTTAGACTCTCAATTGTGGAGTCCCACAAGGATCAATCATCTCCCCACTGCTGTTTAATATCTATATGAGGATCCCAAGGAGGTCATCAGGAGTTTTGGAGCTTTGTGTCACCAATATGTGGATGACACCCAGCTCTATCTCTCCTTCCATCCTTCTGCAGTGGATGCCACCCCGTCCCTTGAGCGCTGCCTGGATGCCATGCTAGGGTAGATGAGGGAGAATAGACTGAGGCTGAACCCAGACAAGATGGAAATCCTGCAGGTTAGTGCCCATAGTGTTTGCAGTCTGGGTGCTTCCCTTTCCTTTGGAGTGGCCAGTCCACCAAGGATGAGGTTCACAGCTTGGGCATACTCCTGGACCCAGCGCTATCAATGTAGTCTCAGGTAGTCTCTCTGGTCCGCTCTGCCTATTTCCAACTAGG